TTAAGGCCATTGGAAACGGCTTCGAGACCTTCGCCCACATTAACCCCGAAATCGACTTTAATTTTGAGTTTATTTTTCACATAATATTCAGACAATTGTTTCGAGTATTCCTCGAATTTGTGTTTATAATCAAAGGTCAGGAATCCTATGACAGTGCGGGCGCTGTAATGGAGCTACCGGTGCCATCATATAATGTTAGACCACATAAATAATTAAAAGGTGATAATTGCATACCTTGACAATAAAGTCATCGATTTTGATGGTCGCGTATCCGACACTAGTATAGCCAGAAGTGGCGCCGATATTGATTAGGCGTCCCTTTCGGGCCAAGTGTTCAAACAACTGCTGAAAAACTGGTGAACCGATTGTCTCCCAAATTGACGTCAATTCCCGACTAAAAGACCACAAAAACTATTATTTAAAACATATTAAAAACCGTACGACGAGTCCATTGCGATGATAGTCGACGACTGCTTGTATGCCGTCACCCATCGATTGGCGCCATTCCTGTCAATGAATGAGATATGGGATCAGTTGGCGGTCATTATGATTGACACAAGTGGTGGCCAAACATACCGTCGCCTCTTAGTGTTGGCCCGAATTGGGTGCAGAAGTGGTCCACATATCGTCGTTCAGCGGATGTGAAACTCGTGGGAAACTCGTACTCTTGTAGCGGAGGAATGATTAGGTTAGGTCAATTACAAACTTTGAACCGTATGATAACTTCTTATCTATTAGATTATATTTTTAAGTAAATGTTTATATATGTTCAGTTGTTTCTCTACTGCGTAATAGTGGTGTATCACTTTGTTAAATTAATCCTTCTATTTTTAGCATTAAAAAATGTCATTGCCCCCGATTTTCCCTATTTGGAAGACCTTCGCGATAGTATTTCACTTGAAGAACAGAGGGCGTTTATAAAGATATGGTTAAAATCATATGACCCTGAGGATGCTAGACAAAGTAGCGAATGGTTGCTCCCTGGTCAAAAGCCGTAACTACAAAAGATTTTAAAAATTGTTATTTATACAAATTTCAAACACCGGATTTCTATCTTAATTATCACAGACCAAAGAAATTGCGTGCAGAGTTTCAGCAATGGAAGTGCATAATGATCGTGGCACTTTGGAAGAACCAAGTCTTTACATACGAGATATTACCCAATGGACAAACCGTAGACAGTGGTGTTCATCTTAAGTTTCTTGAACGTCGAGTGCTCCCGGAAGTTACTCGAAAGAAAATGGCAAGGCCTATTATCTTACATGACAATGCTAGACCCCATAAACATCGAATAGTTCGAGTTTTTACAAGAAAATCGTTGGGAGGAATTAGAACACCCGCCATATAGTCTTGATATGTCACCGCCGGATATGGATGGGATATATCGTATAAAAGTTCCTAATAAGGGGAAGCAGTTCCAGAGTCAAGATGAGCTAATTCGCGATTATGAAGCAACAATTCGGGACATTAATCAAAAGCATGCATCACTTGGTATTAGTATGCTGCCTGACCGCTGGCGTGCCATAGCACTGACTCGCGGTAATTACATTGACTGATGATCAAATAAAAAATTTATTATCTTGTAACACTTCCAAAATATTTGAAAAATAAAATTTGTAAAGACTTTCGGTTCAACCCTAGTATATAATTTTATAAAATTAAAATTAAATGAATACTACGAATAATGGATAATGTACAATAAGTTTTTTTTGTTTTGTTCAGGATGTATTAGGTTGTACATTGTACAGTGTGTTTCACCATTAGCGGGTAAAGGTTCAGGCTCATATCTCGAAAACTAAATTAGATAGCAAGGTACTCTCGACGGTTTCTAAAACTACAAAGTATAGCAAATTTTTTGACATACTGATCAC